ATCTCTGGGTAATCCTCGACAAGATGTTTACTTAAGGCCTTAAATAAAGTATTTTTGCGTACTTTATGTGTCTTGTAAAATATAACGTACGCACAGTCGAAATAGAGTACAATACTTTATAATAAAGTACGGGTGGCAACCCTAGATACGACGTACGTACGTAAATAGAAAAAGTACAACACCTGATTCGTCACAGGTATAAAGAATATCTATATATTTTTTGCGTCGTCTGATTTGAAAATTTAATCTTACAGTTCATTTATTATTCCGTACAAATAACTTGAGACCCACGCGTGCGTAAACCCTACGTTATAGTTGCTAGTTTCATTGGTGTGTATATCGGAATTTCGACGTTTCACATCTGCTAGGCGTCCCGTGACGACTAATTTCTTTTTTTTTTTCATCTACGTTTGATCATGAGCGTCTTCAATTTCTGTCTTCTGCTTTCTATTATGTACTAGATAAGGCACATTTCTTTGTCGGCATTTTTCCTTTTTATGTCGAATGCATAATTTAGTGAATGTGTGGAATATATTTTTTCAACCACATCAAAATCCCAAAATATCAGCTGGTTCTCTGATGCTGTAGACTAATTAATCGAACTCTCAAAATCTTTTAAACATAGCACCAAAGGATTTAAGTTTAGATGAAAAGATGGCGTCGATGACGTTGTGTTTAACAAAACAATTATGCCGCCCTTTGATAATTTCATCTAAATGTAATAGAATATTCCCGTTGCGTCTTTTCCGTTTTTAATAAAAAATAAATCGTTTTAGTCTTGTTTATTATTTTTGAAGTGGAACTTCTTTATCGACGGTAGGAACCGAAAAATGTAATGACAAGCGTCACAGCGTCATGCGTTACGCGCCACGTGTGACCTCTAGTGGATATGTCCAAAATGATGTAGTAACCGATAATCCTAAAATTGCCATTTCGACAAATTGTCGGCGATAGATAATGTGTGTTTCGGTTTGTCTTGATTTGAAATTTATCTCTACAGTTTTGTATGATGCAAGCGTAAAGGTTTTTAACAAAACTAAATCAATATTCCGCATTCGTCTAACTAATACACGTTTGCCCCTTTTTTTATCTATTTTTTGGTTGTCGACACGTCTTGATCTTAGTATATTGGAGATCTATGCATCCCGTCTTCCAGAAATTGGGCAGCTTCATCTATAGTTTTTGGTTTGCATATTATCATCATCATAAGGCCGTCAGTCCTAAGACTGGTTGGACATGCACCTCCACTCTTTCCTATCCTGAGCTAATCTTCGCATTTCCCCAAAATTAGAACAACCCACAGCCTTGACTATTTGCGAACAGTAATCTAATCTAGATCTACCTCTACTCCTCTTAACTCCTCCTGTTTCTGTCTCTAATATATCTCTGACTAAACCTTCATGCCTGAGAAGGTGTCCTACTAACCTATCTCACCTATTTCTTATTTACTTCCATAGAGTCCTCTATTCTCCTATTCCTTCTGTATCCACGGTATCCTCATCATTCGTCGGTAACATCAAATTTCGCTTTTAATCTTTTCTTTTCCGTCGTGCCCAAACAGACACCTTTAACAATTTTTTCGAATTTCTAAATTAACCCTTCGCGAACATAGAAGTGACTACTTTTTATTGAAGGCGACTGGACCCTGCGCTATCCTCTGTTTTATATTCCTACCGCTCCTTCCGTCCTGACTTATCTGACTTCCTAGATACCTAAAACCAGCCACTTCTAATTTTTCGTCCTATCTTTATATTCCCTCTTTCCCTACTTTGTCTTCCTATGCATACCAGTATTTCTGTTTTACTTTTATTTATTTTCATACAGTATTGTTTTGCTTTTAGCTATTTATTTGGTCTGCATTTTTTATTATTTTACTGTATCTGAAATTTTTGTCTTCAAAAAGGAGTAAAATTTTATTAGGTAAAAAAGCAATACCAATGTACAGTTCACAATTTCGGTCTCCCTGCATGAACCCGAACTTAAAATGTTCTCATTTCCAATTCTTCAAAAACTATATTACTACTTATACTTATACCTATAACAGAAAGTATATCTAGGTATTCCTACTTCTCGGAAAGTTTTCGGAACAACTCGTTTAAGAGCATATATTTATTTATAAGTATTCTGTGTTTCCGATATGTAATATTTTCATATTTCTCAGAAGAAACGGCAATGGAGCATTTTCCATAACATATTCAATGACGTCAAGCGCTTCTTGTATCCACCGATGCATTAGTTTTTTATTTCCACATATCCTCATAAAATTGTCAAGATATGCAAATGTAACGTGATGCTTTCCGAATCAATGCAGTTGCATTTGATAGGGAGATATATGTAGATATTGGTACCTACCTGGCAAGCTTTACACAATAGAGTTTTAATCGGTAATGGAATTTTTGCACAATCATTGCAACTACTGATGTACTTTCATATAAACGCGGGAGGAACCGAAATTAATTTGAAAAAATTGTTACCAGAAAAAAAACATACCCGTATAAATAAGCAAGTCAATTAGAAGTGAACTTGCTTTAAATAAAATAAAATGTTGTAGCTAAACAACCGCCGGGAGAATGGTTCATTTAGACTTGATACGACTACACCACTAGGTACGTTCAATGTTCGCCGATATTTTCATTGTTTATGCAAGCGCGATGAATTTTATTTTTTATTTATGTAAATTGCATTCAAATTCGGAATATACACATAATCTGTTTTTTAGTTGACATCGGCACTCATAAGAAGGCCGTTCTAAACTCTATTTAGTGACAATTTTAATTGACAATGAACCTTGATAAAAAGGCTTTCGCCACCAGTTGGTGAACTGATGCTGTCCTGATTCGGGCCTAAAGGTTATCGTCGGTTGGAGTTACTTCCTAACGTTTCGCTAACCCGAGTAGTTAACTTCTTCAGACATTCTTCCATCTCCGAAGTTATTTGAGGACTAGAGTGGACTAGATGGAACTTCGACTCCAGACGTTGATGACCTTTAGATACAAATCAGAGCAGCATCAGTTCCCAATAAGCCTTAGTGTGCATTGTGTCTATCTGTCCAGCTTTCAAAACGGCGCTGTAAAAGCTTTCAAACCATTTTGAGATACAACTGAAATTTGAAGTTTTTAAAAAATAAGATTCATAAAAAAATGGTTAAATAAATACTCTTTAAGTCAGGGTAACAATTATTATCAACAAAGCAATACCAACTACAAGTCAGAATAGCTGTAGGGGTGGCACGCAATATCCCCTTCCGAAGTTTCTAATTAGGATGTTTACTATTAGTATTACTCGGTAAGATAAACACTTTATCTCATGTTGTACATCTATATATCTTACTTACTACATATTCAAGAGGCAGATCGTATCTTTCGTTTAATGTTGTGTAGCATACGAAATTGTTATTTATTAATATAAATTAAGAAGAGACATGCACCGAAGAGAAAGCTTTTCGCAATGAAATGATTGCTAATTTATTTGTCTACCCAAGAAAATTAAAATGCGATCTGAGAGACTGTTTTTTTTTTTCTGCAAGGAGCCTAATATATTGTGAAGGTCAACTTAAAATCTTTAATGTTTTGGTCCACCCTTTGACCCATGTATCCCTTCTGCAATAACAATGTTAGAATGTTACCTTTTATAGTTATGTCGTACAGCGCGGCAAAAGCGTTCATATAGTTGGGACAATCAAAATTGACAAACTCTGCAATAAATAGTTTCCACTTGGGACTGTAGTCAATTGCTACATTTGAACAAGCCCTTGTTAGGTAAGGAAATACTTCATGAGTACTACAGACAAAATGAAAAGAGATAACTGAATAATATTAAGCGGTGCAGCAGTTGGAGGTTGCTTTGGTACGTAAAATATCATCTTCTTGTCTGCGTCTCTTTCTGTTACACATTAATTGATATAATGTTATTTCTTTTCTTTATTAGTATCCGCTGCAATTCCTACCTGCCATCTCTTTTCTGCGTTTACGATATTCCCTGCAACGTCTAGTTGTATGTTGAAAGAAAAAGTAAATGCGACAGTTTTATTGCGAACTATGCCAATTTTGAACGTCTAAACTATACCTAATATTTTGCGTAACATATTTTATGCATAGATGCTTAGGTTTCTTAATTAAACATTGCAAAGCTCTATTAAACAGTAAATAATCTTTCAAAAGCATAGTTATCTCCTAATCCAGTTTAGTACATTTCTTACACTTGATATCGTTCTTAATTTGAATTAATAATTCCATGGACAGTTAATAGTGTCCGTTGCCTCCACCATAATTAATCATTACACCTATTAGGTTCTTTTTTTATTAGAATGAACAAAATTAATAAGTAATTGATAGCGCCTTTTATGCAAATTGATTATGTATATTACTCATTATGAAATGTTGTCCGGCCTCCCTTAATATTACGATTTTTAATAAGAAAAGCCCCATTTTCTCTTTTAATCATATTTACCTGCTTCAACGAGAGGTACCAAAAATATTTTGGATTCCATATTCTGTTTATGAATAAATAAAAATTAAATTTCTATAATTGCATAAGATACGTTGATACAGTTGTATTGTACTTTTCAGTATTTTTCGTCTGTTTCTTCCCTCATCACCTATTCTTCTTGTGGTTCAATCTAAATCCAGACTCCATAGAAGAATACGACTCGTACTGGCATGCGTTGAAAATTATTGGATTTTGTCTTAGGTAAGTAAATAACATAATAATCAATCCGTTATTTATAGTAAAACTTACCTATAAACATCATACTTAATAATCTTGTAAAAAAAATATAAATATAGGTACTATGTAGTTACATTTATGAACCCACATTATACAGCATTTTAAAAGCTCTTAAAATTGATGACAGGCGGACAGAAATGGATACACTTTCATGGTATTGCCATGTCAAAATTATTAATCATTTATCACTGTCACTTCGCAAAAATGTTTATTAAGCGCTCGGGTGGATATAGAGGCCACTATTAAATTTTTAAAAGCTGCCTTTACTTGGTATACAGTTATGAAAGCTGCGGTTTGACCTTGATATGTGGAGTTTCAGGACAAAAACATTTTCTGTTAAGAGTACTAAACTACTGATGATATAATCTTTCCGAATTCATTGGCTTACTATAATTACTTCATATACTTAACCACATCAAATCCACGCAAGTTATGTATAAATTTTCAGTCTCTCTCCAGTCTCTCAGAGTCTTTCAGAGTCTTTCAGCGTCTCTGAGAGCGTCTCTCAAAGTTTTTCACAGTCTCTCAGTTATTGCCTAGGTGTTTTTATGGATCTCCCACAGTCTCTGTATGAGAATTCGAACGATAAAATTGTTAATTCAGAGATTCGAGTCTCTCACAGAGAGACTAAATGAATAAAACTGAAAAATTGAGAGACTCGAGTCTCTCGCAGAAAGACTGGGATCTCTGACTTAGAAAATTTTAACCATGTCGATCTAGACACCACTTATTGAGAGATTCGAGTCTCTCGTTCAGAGATTCGAGTCTCTCATTCAGAGACGCTAAACAGTTTTTTTGACAGTCTCTCTCAGCGACACCAGAGAGACTCGATGAGAGACGGAGACTCGAATCTCGCTTTCAGAGACTCTGCGAGACTGAACATTTTTATCTCAGGTCATCATACGCTATTTTCTAATAGTCTAGGCAATATGGGCGGGTGAGTGGAAAGAACTGTTCTGATTAAATTTTTTATGCTGTTTTATTTGGAAGATTGTACTACAGATGGCATTTACAGCGCCATTTGTCGTATTTTCTAAAACGCGCTGTTAATGCAGCAGGTAAAAGTTGGTCTGTGTTCTGTCGGAGCTGCTTGCGACGCGCTGATGAGATCCAAAAAGATCGAAATCGCGATCCGCGTCTGGCAGTTTCGACAGAATACAGACCACTTCGAATTATTTTGTTCGATTATGGTAACGTGCCTACCACGTTGAGGTGAGCTACACCGGGATTCGTTTCAGCAAGTAGATATCCATATATTTAAATGGACCTTGCTGAGGCATACGTAATCCTAAAATGTAGCACTGTACTACAGATGGCGTTTACAGCGCCATTTGTCGTATTTTCTATGTGTTAACTGATTGTTGCATTATTTTACCTCCTAGTGTTTACTCCCTTGTATCTAAATCTAAATTCACAACGTACATACGTATGTCTTGAGTACGTTTAAGTAAATTTAGTGTAGCCTTGTCTATCGCTTGAAATACTTCAGTAAGAAGAAATACCCAGTAGATGGCGATACACCGCGTCTAATATTTGAATGCTCTTCTTATCTTAAATATTTATTGATTTCCAGTTTGACTCCTTTCGTGTGAAATAATAAAGAACATTTTATACAGCCGAAGATTAGAAAATTTGCTTTCTACAAAGGAGCCGCGTTTTCTCCTTCATTTCTAAAAGCCTTTAAGAATATCACAAATGAAATGAGTTGGAATTAATTTGAAAATGGAACACTATCACCATTGTCTCCTTTCGAGCAACCTCCGAAACGATATAATTTAAAAATTGTTTTCTCTTCGTTGGTCTCAGTAGTAGATAATGAGAAAAGAAAATCGACTCGAGATTAGTATATGTAGAGAGATACTACAATAATAGAAACTACTTATGCAATGAAAAAATGTGTAACAATCCCATTTTATTATCAAAAAAATAGTAATAGTTTAAGTCTGTTTTACACACACCCTACGGATGAACATCTACACAAAACTATGTATCATAATTAGTATATTGTAGGTAAATCGGGATACAGAATGCGACAGAAACCTTCATTCCTGAGGTGTCATACCAAGCTAGCTCGCCTATTTCTTATTGACTTCTATAGAGTCCTATGTTCTCCTATTCTTTCTAATATCTCTTAATTTCTAACCTTCTCTATCCACGGTATAATAATCATTCGCCTGTAGCACCACATTTCGAAGCTTTTCTTTTCTGCAGCATCCACCGTCCATGTTTCGCACCCGTACAGCGCCGCGCTACAAACATACACCTTTAACAACCTTTTTCGAATTTCTAAATTAACCGGTATGTAAATATACTTGTGTTTTTACATTAATCTCAAATGTAACTTAAACGTGGGTACATTTAACTAGTACAACAAACGAAATAAGTCACACAATTTTGAAACTTTTTAAACTATTTTGAGCTTTGTAGGCATAGTTACATAACAGAATATAAAATGTGTTTCTTTTGAATAGTGTTATAAAGTTGTACTTAATTGCACTTAGGAATGACAAAAGGCAGTCTATTGTTAGCAGTTTTGTTGCATGAGGCATCACTTTAAATGGCTCAAAGTTTACTTTATAGCTGGATAGAGAATGCGCAGTCCATTCTTTACATCTAAGGTTGTCGTTTAAACAAAAATGAAGATTTTGTAGTAAAATCTAACAAATAGCTGCTTCACAACATTGGGACTTTACTATAATACTTCTAGTTAGAAAAACAGACCATTTTTACGCCTTTTACCTGAATTATACAGTTATTTTTGCTACAACAATTTTATTGGTGAAGCAATAGAACTTAAATTCGGTTATAAAAAACGGTTTCATTTTGAGTTAAAACTAACACTTTGAAAAAGTTTTCTTTCTTATTTGATGTTATAACTCATAAACCAGGCAATTGTCACTTCATCATTTCACGAGGCTAGGAAATTACGTCATTTGTCATTTGATGTATACTTCGTATGAGAATAATGTTAAAGCCGAGGGCATCTATAAACCAATGTTAGTAGTAGTGATGGCTTGAAACTATTTATGACCAAGTGACAATAGTCAACGTGGAATAGGAGCTGGACTAATAATTCTGAAAACGATAAGGTCTTTAAAATTTAAACGGCTTTGTTTTTTGTTTGTTACTTACATCTAAAAGTTACGTTTTTATTTTATTCTAGCTATGTCATTTCTACGTCAGCATTGGTACTGAATCTACCCCCGGTCAAATATCGTAAACCCTGCTATTGCATTGTTAAAGACAATCTATATTTATAGATATCCATATAAGTAGACCTTGTTGGAGCATACGTAATCCTAAAATGTAGCATCGTACTATAGATGGCGTTTACCGGGCCATTCGCGGTATTTTCTAAATCTATATTTTCTATACACAAAGTATAGCAGCTTCCGTCTTCGTAACCGATTTTAAATTGATAACACAGTTATATTACTTTATACTACCTGCGAAATCTTATTCTTTTGAAATTGCATTACTATAAATATAAAAGCAGCCGTATTTGAGAAGTTTTTTAATTCATCTTGCAACACATCGGCTAAAAATACGAGGGTGGATTGATAAGTTTCCGGCCTAACCAAGAGATGACGCCACTAGGCCTACCTTGAGGTGACATTCTATAGTACCATCCTTGGATAGCTTGTAGCTATAGTTTCAGCCCGATCTCCT